TGTCAAATCTTGTAACCAGTTGTTCTCTTCAAAGTGGATTCTGGAAGGACTGGATCTAAATTTATAGTCCACGGCATGGCTCAGTGGTTGTGCATCAACTTATGAACCAGGAAGTCTCCAGGTCACATGCCCCCGGTTTCAGGCTTAATCCCCAGTGGGGTGTGTAGGGTGGGGGTGGGGTACTGGAGGCAACCAAATGATGATTGTCTCTCATCATTGATGTTTCTCTCTCCCTCTCCCTTCCTCTTGGAAATCAATAAAAATATTTTTAAAAAGTTTGTGAAAGGGCAAGGGCTATGCCCTCCATCTTTCCCCGTATCCTCCATGTTGAGGCAGCAGCCATGTGCTCAGGAAAGTACCTTCTTCCCGGAAGCCCAAGCCTCTGCTAGCCACGCCCAGGATTTCTTTGACCCACAGTCACCTCTCCACCCCCCTATAAAACTCCTCTTCCCATCGGGCTAGCCCTCTCTCTGACACTTGGCTTACCATTGCATCGGTGAGTGTGGTCGGGGAGCCGAACTAGTTCGAATAAAAGACTCTTTGCATCGGACTCGCTCGCTCCCTGGTGGGCTCTTGGGGATCTTGAAATCTGGGCATAACATTTGCAACCCATCTCTAGTAAGTTTGTAGGGCTTCAAAGTCTGCATTTTAAACACCCACCTCACTCTTAAGTGCCCTACTGTCCATTCATATTATATGGATTTTCTAATTCCTCTTAATTTTTCTGCAACAAGGTGTTCTGGGCCTAAACACAGTTTACTATAGCATTTTTGCTTACAGTAATGAAAGGAATTTTAGGGGTAAGATAGGGCAGGTTTAGGGAATATTAGAAATTTTGGAAATTAAGGGGACCATGGAGGAAAGCACAGGGCTTCAGAGCAGCAGAAGGTATATTTCCATAGAATTGGGAGCTGGAAAGCTGCAACAGATACAGTTCCATAGAATGAGGGAGCTGGGAACAGCAAAAGGTCTATATTTACAAAATAAAGAGAAGGAAGCCCTTCATCCAGAAGGAGAGGAAGAAAGCCCGAAGGGAATAGAAAAACAATAAGGAAGGAGTGGGGGAGAACCTCACATGTCCCATGTGAGGTTCAACCTTCCAGCCCAGGAGTTACTATAGTAACCAGTCTAAGGGAATAGTGACCAATCAGAAGGGATATCAAGGCACCAGGATCTGTAGCCTTTATAAGCCATAGGGAAAAGGAACTCAGTGGGATCCTTTCCCCCTCCCCACGTGGGAGTCTGTTCTGTGGGACTCTTTCCCTCTCCCCATGTGGGAGTCTCCTTCAATAAATCTCCACCTTTGCTATACCACTTTCTGTCCGTGGATTCATTCTTTGATTCTGGCGGACAAAGAATCCGGGTTCCAGTCCAAAAATTCAGTATCAGAAGTGTACTTTTAACACTTCTAACATAGTGTTATTTAGACTTTTAATCCGTGATGATGTTTATTCTCCTAAATATGATTTAATTTCAGTTTGCAGTATTTAAACCTAAACGTCTGCAGAGTTGTAAATAGTATTAATTTTCATTTTGTCCAAGTGATTTTTCAGCCTTTTAAAAAAAAGGAACCTAACAGAAACACTACAAAAAGTAAATATAAATACAGGTTACTTTACATAAGTCGGTATTCCACCAGCAACTACACATATGTAGACAGTAGATGATCTATTCCTTGTTGTTTTATATCACTTTGACCTACTGATACCAATTACCTTTAAAATTTCTAATCTCTATGCCATGTGGTTCAGAGCATCTCCACCTATGAACCAGAAAGTCACAGCTGGATTTGGGGTGAGGGCGCATGCCTGGGTTTTGCCGGGGGTTCTGCTCTATTCCCAGCAGGGGACGTGCAGGAGGCTGCCAATCCATGACTCTCATTGATGTTTCTATCTCTCCCTCTCTGAAATCAATAAAAATATATAAAAACATCTCTTTAGGTACCATTTCCTTGTCAAAATGTTAAAAGAATGTACTTTTAACACTTCTAACATAGTGTTATTTAGACTTTTAATCCGTGATGATGTTTATTCTCCTAAATATGATTTAAATCCTTTAAAGGGGAAAACCAAGATGGCGGCATAGGTAAACACCAGAAATTGCTGCCTCCCACAACAACTTCAAAAATACAACTAAAAGACAAAACGAATATCATCCAGAACCACAGGAAGGCTGGCTGAGTGGAAATTCTACAACTAGAAGGAAAGAGAAAAGCACACTGAGACTCAGAGGAGGTGCGGAAGTAAAGTGCAGAGGTACGGAGGCGCACATGGAAAGGGCTGGCAACTGAGGACGCAGTTGTCTTTTTCAATCGGGAGGGAGACACAAGCTCCCGACTGCTCTGAACTCCGGGCGAGTCTCTGGGGACTCAGACTCATACGGGGAGAAACTGGACTGTCTGGCGTCGGGCAAAACTCAAGGGCGGCTTTCTCTTAGAGGTGCTTACAGTGATTACTGTGGGACACTGAGACGCGGGGCCTCTGGGCAGGACAGAGGATCAGCCATAGCTGTTTGCTCCCCCCTGTTGATTCCCTGAGACCCCGCCCCACCCAAGCCGTGCGCAGAGGCTTTTGCAGATGAAAGGGCCTGCCTCTTTGCAATCTAAAATTACCTAACAAACTGCAGCTGGGTCAGAGAGACCCAGAACTTCCAAAAGAAGGCCCAAGGCCCCACAGCAGCTTGCATTGCCTCACAGCTGGGCCTCATTGGGGCACCTCCAAACCCCAAACAAAGAAATCTGCAGATCTCTCCATAGCTCCAGCTGGGTAGCCTCAGGCAGAGGCTAAATTAGCACCTCCTTAGAGATCCAAGAGCCAGTGTACCCAGTGGTCAGAGTGGGACCATCCAGATTACAACTCCTCAGATCCATAAGGGACACACACAGGGGGCAGACTCAGTGAGCACCAAAGCCCCACTGAAGCAAGTCTTGCCCCAGAAGGGTGTCTTCAGCACAGAAGTTTTCCCACTGCAGACACAGCTGATTCTCACAGCCAATTGGCCTGGAGGTCAATTCCTCCCACTGATACCTACAACAATCAAGGCTTAACTACAACAAGACTGTGCACAAAGCCCACAAAGGGGTGCACCAAGAGTGTTCACCTCAGGTAATTGGGGAGGCTGAGCCACTGGGCCCTATAGGACACCTAGCACACAAAGCCACTCTATCAACACAGGGAAGCAGCCAAAATGTGGAGATAAAGAAACAGGTCACAAATGACAGAAATGGAGGAAAGCAAACTACTGGATATAGAGTTCAAAACCATGGTTATAAAGTTTTTCAAGAACTTTCTAGAAACCGCCGATAAATTTAGTGAGACCCTCAATAAATCTAGTGAGATCTTTGAGGATATGACAAAGGACTAACTAGAAATTAAGCATACACGGACTAAAATAAAGAATATTATACAGAGATCCAACAGCAGACTAGAGGATCCCAAGAATCAAATCAAAGTTTTGAAATATGAAGAAGCAAAAAACACCCAACTGGAAAAGCAAAAGGAATCCAAAATATGAAGATAGTGTAAGGAGCCTCTGGGACAACTTCAAGCGAACCAACATCCCAATTATGGGGGTGCCAGAAGAAGAGAGAGAGAGCAAGATATTGAAAACCTATTTGAGGAAATAATGACAGAAAACTTCCCCTACCTGGTGAAAGAAATAGACTTACAAGTCCAGGAAGCACTGAGAACCCCAAACAAAAGGAATCCAAAGAGGACCACACCAAGACACATCATAATTAAAATGCCAAGAGCAAAAGACAAAGAGAGTATCTTAAAAGCAGCAAGAGAAAAACAGTTAGTTACCTACAAGGGAGTACCCATACGACTGTCAGCTGATTTCTCAACAGAAACTTTGCAGGCCAGAGGGAGTGGCAAGAAATATTCAAAGTGATGAATACCAAGAACCTACAACCAAGATTACTTTATCCAGCAAAGCTATCATTCAGATTTGAAGGTCAGATAAAGAGCTTCACTGATAAGAAAAAGCTAAAGGAGTTCATCACCACCAAACCAGTATTATATGAAATGCTGAAAGGTATCCTTTAAGAAGAGGAAGAAGAAGAAAATGGTAAAGATATAAACTATGAACAACAAATACACATCTATCAACAAGTAAATCTAAAAGTCAAGTGAATAAATAATCTGATGAACAGAATGAACTGGTGATTATAATAGAATCAGGGGCATGGAAAGGGAGTGGACTGACTATTCTTGAGGGGGAAAGGGGTGTGGGGGATGCGGGAAGAGACTGAACAAAAATCGTGCACTAATGGATGAGGACAGTGGGCCGGGGGGTGAGGCCGGAGGGTTTGTGGGAAACGGGTGGAGGGGAGCTATGGGGGGAAAAAGAGGAACAACTGTAATAATCTGAACAATAAAGATTTAATTAAAAAAAATAAAAAGCCAAAAAAATAAATCCTTTAAGGATTGGTCATTGTCGCCCTTGGCTGTAAGCAGGTCCTTTTTATTCCACTCTTTGGCTATGTGGACCATTGTTTAAGCTATTGAAAGGCAAAGAACAAATTCCTGCTTTAAAGTTAACATCAGATTTTGGTCAACACAGTTCCCTGGAGCTTGTGATACAGACCCTCCTGCAACCTGAGGGCAAGTGACACCTGCCCGTTTACACAGCCACAGCCCTAAACTGCCTTTCTGCGGAGAGGAACCTTGGGCTGTCGGCTGGATGTCGGGCGATGGGCGGGGTGGAGCTGCCCGCCCGCCGGGGTGGGTCACGCCATCACGTTTGCCTGGTTCGGTTAATAACAAGGAAAACGATAGCAAGAACCGCAGGGTTGTGAGCCGTCTCCCCATCGGCCCGCCTCGTCTGGGCGCCCCCCTCGGTTCTCAGAGCTTCACTCGCCCCTGCAGACGCTGCCCAACCAGCGTCCCAGCGCCTCCGCCACCCGGTTTCAGGGGAGGCCTGCCCACTCCTAAGATGGCGGCGTCGGCCTCGGGGAGGCGGTGCCCTAAGTGGGCGCTAGTGGCCAATGGGCTTCCGGTCTGCCCCGCCGGCCCAGCGCGGGAGGCGGAAGTGCCGTGGGCCGCTGCCTTAGTCCCGGCTGCGGCCCCTGCGGGTTACATAACCGGCTGCGGCCCACGGCCCCACTTCCGGCTCCCTGCGACCCCAGGATGCGCTGAGCCCCACGGCACTGTCCGCCGCCGCCGGCTCCCGCCCGAGGTGAGGTTCCCCCGGTCTCGGGCTGGTGGTGGAGGCGCCGGGTCCGGCTCGGGGTGGGGGTCGTGAGTGGGGAGGAGCTGCAGCTCGGGGTTGGGGCGGGCAGGGGCGCGGGGGGCCCTGGTGGGGCGCGGGACAGCCGGGCCAGTGGAGGGAGGCTAGTCGATGCCCAGATCCCCGCGGGGTTTCGGGGCTGCCTAGGTCAGGTCGCGTCCGGCAGGGGTGAGGAGGGGCCGCGGGGTGAGGAGGGGAGCGCCCCAGGTCCTAGGGGGTGCCGAGGGGCGCGGTTCCCAGCTCCGGGTGGGTGCCGGCCCTGTTTTCTCGGGCGCCTCGGTGCCCTGCCCTGGGACGGGTTGTTGGGGAGGTTTCGAACCGGAGCGTGGCCTGCCCTTCGCCCCCGCGGAGGTGAAGCGCCTGGTGTTTCCGCCGTGGAACGCTCTGCCGCCGCCTCGCTCGGCTTCGGTACTTGTCCGTCGGTCTGTAGTTACTTTGCCGACTGGTTTGCCCCCCTGTGAGCTCCTGGAAGCCCGGGCTCTGTCTCGGTCGGCTCCGCGTCTTCCTCTCTCAGAGGCTGTACCTGTTCGCCTGTAGCGTCTGTGGTGGGTCCCCCGGGGAAAATTTTGAGGGGGGCTGTGGGCCTTCGCTGCACCCCTAACAAATAACCGCGTGCCTGCCCAGCGGGGGCCGGAACCCAGCAAGGGAGGCGAGGCAAGGAGTTACTGTGCAATAAACGCGGACACTGGCCGCTTCGCGGATCGGTCTTCCCTCTGCCGAGTCCTGGAGCCGTGCGATCTGATAGTCATTCGTCCCGAAGGAAAGGGAAACAGCCCCCCACGGTAGTTCCCTGTGGTTCTGGAGGTGATCGCTACTGGGAGCGTCAGAACTGGAGAGAACGCTTCGGGTTGCAGGTGTTTTACCAGAAAACTAGAGACGGAAAACCCCTAGTTAATGTTTAATTGACTGGACCGGTACAAGCAGCTCCAGGTCCTCTACAGAAATAAATACCGCAGTCCTCCCAGCGTTTTGTGATGTAGATGTGTTAGAAGTTCTCTGGCCCAGCGTGCAAGGGAAGAAGGGGAGTCTTGAGCATCACTGAATTGAAAGGGACTGAAAGCCAAAACGAATTCCTGTTCTTCCTCTGGGTTTCTATAAAGTCAGTTAAAACCTGTAAGCAACATGGTCAGGGCATGGTGTGGTGTTCACAGGTCAGAGTAAAACAAAAAGTCTCTGTGTTTCCTATCTTTAGCCCCTCCCGGTTGTAACTTGCAGTGATTTTTGTCACGGTGTTTATTTTAGCCACATCTATTCCATATTTGGGATATGACTTGTTGAAGTTGCTAAGCAACAGCCTGCTCTGCCCTGGGTGGAAGGAAATTCCTGGATGGTAGGAGATTGGAGCGATAAAAGATAACACCTGAACTGAGAAGGGTGATGCTGTCCTGGCTGCTGTGCCTGTCTCGAAGCCTCCATGTACCTGTTAGCAAACAGTTTGGTACCTTACAGCCTTCGGGGTGTTTAATCCAGGGGGACATGGCAGCCTTCCATTGCGGCAGCCACGTGGAACACAGTGTAGAGAAGACTCCTCAGAGCGCTCGGCTCAGGGCTCTCAGTTCTGTCTGCTGAAATAGCCCAGAGGTCTGTCCACTTTGTTGTTGACAGCTCTCCAACCTGAACGGAAAGCTGACAGCTTATCAGATAGAGTCTTCCCTTAATGGCAGCTCCTCTATCTCTACATCTTATCTCCAAGAGCCCATCTTGGAAATAACAGAAGCAATTTCATTTTATAAAATAGTCTGTGGGTAATTGTCCCTTAGGTACTGGAATGAATTCTTATCTGGAATATGCTAACGCAACAATGTTTCATCGTTTCTGTAGTTCCTGGGAGTGATGCTGGATTCCTTTTTCAAACTTGCTGCTTTTCAGACATGACTCCTGACTCTAGTTGTAAACTATTCAGGAGGTCTTGCTGGTCAGATTATTTGTTGCTCATTATACTTAGTTTCAAATTACTTTCTCTGGCCTCCCATTTTAACCCTTTCATTGAGATGCACATACAAGCCCTGGTGGTTAGCTCACTTGATTGAAGAATCATCCTGATACCCCAAAGTTGGGAGTTCGATCCCCCCCCCCCCAAATCAGGGCACATACAAGAATAAACCAATGAATGCATAAATAAGGGAACATCAAATCAGTGTTTATCTCATTCTCCCCCTCTCCCTTCCTCGTCCTCGTCCTCGTCCTCGTCCTCGTCCTCTTCCTCTTCCTCTTCCTCTTCCTCTTCCTCTTCCTCTTCCTCTCTCTCATCAATTAAAAAGAAATACATAGCCCTAGCCGGTTTGGCTCAATGGATAGAGCTTCAGCCTGCGAACTGAAAGGTCCCAGGTTGGATTCTGGTCAAGGGCACATGCCAGGGTTGTGGGCTCGATCCCCCGTGGGGGACTTGCAGGAGGCAGCTGATCCACTATGATTCTCTCCATGGATATTTCTATCTTTCCCTCCCTCTTCCTTCCTCTCTGAAATGAATAAAAATATATTTTTAAAAAAAAGAAATATACATACAGAAAAGTACATTGCTTGATAACTGGTCATGAACTACCTGTTTAACCACCACCACAAAAGACCCCTCAGGTTCTTTATCAGACAAGCCCTCTCTATTTAAAATACTGATTTTCTGGTAGGAGATCATTAGCAGTCATTTTTGGGGGAAGGGGTAAGCAGGGGATTCTTAGATTTTGCTTTATATTGCATGTGAATTCTTATTTTGTGTTCATAGTAAAACAAAAAGATTAAAAAAGAGCATGCCCTTAAAAAAAGGAGGAATGTTCTTTTTAAACCTTTTTTTAAAGTGGTTGTCTTAAAACATAAATATTTTTTAAAGTTAAATTTTGTGAAGTCATTAAAATTTCTTTTTTAATGACTACACAGGAACTCTAAAATATTTGTACAAGTCTGTTCGGTGTTCTTATCCACAACCACCCCCTCTTTGCTTCATTACAGCTTTGAATCTGTTTATTTTTGGCATTGGTGCACAAAATGCCATGTTATTCCAATGATATGGGGTTTTAAAAGTTGGCACTAAGTGTATTTGGGGACAATATGGGTAATTATTCTACTTATAATTTGAAGAAACAGTATAAAATTTCCAAGTTATTACTAGTTAAAAACAACCCATGAGATTATTTTAATATAAAAATATGTTCACAAGTTTTACATTACCACATGAAAAATTTTTTTTCTTTATTTTTTTTTAATTTTTTTAATATATATTTTATTGATTTTTTACAGAGAGGAAGGGAGAGAGATAGAGAGTTAGAAACATTGATGAGAGAGAAACATCGATCAGCTGCCTCCTGCACATCTCCTACTGGGGATGTACCCGCAACTCAGGTACATGCCCTTGACCGGAATCGAACCTGGGACCTTTCAGTCCACAGGCGGACGCTCTATCCACTGAGCCAAACCGGTTTCCAAACTCATTGTAAGAAAACAGAAATTAGTTTAAGTGGCATAGAACACAGACATCTGCCATCACCCCAGAGGCAAATGCTGACAGGAGGTTGAATTACTTTTCAAAAATCATTTTTGGTATAAAAGTCTACCTCACGATCCTGTGTTAACGTATACCAGATTTGACCCATTTTTTAAATATTTAACTTCTAGCCGAAGCCGGTTTGGCTCAGTGGATAGAGCGTCGGCTTGCGGACTGAAGGGTCCCAGGTTTGATTCCGGTCAGGGGCGTGTACCTGGGTTGCGGGCACATCCCCAGTGGGAGATGTGCGGGAGGCAGCTGATCGATGTTTCTCTCTCATCGATGTTTCTAACTCTCTATCTCTCTCCCTTCCTCTCTGTAAAAAATCAATAAAATATATTTTAAAAAAAATTTAACTTCTATTTAACTCTGAAGGATCCTAAATGTAAACACAGAGAAGCAGAGATTAAAAATCATAATAAAACCCAGCAGAATGAGATGGAAAAGGTGAAGAAAGGCAGAGGGCTGATATGCTGGAGGGGCAGCAGCCAGGGGCCGGACAGGGTTTCTGAAACCAGATTCCCCTGTTGCTTACTTTTTCCCTTTCAAATTGAGTAGCTGCTTGTCCATTTCACCCACTCCTCCCCCCAAACAATGTTAGGGTTGCTTGTAGCCATTGAAGTTCTCTGTGGGAGAACCAATTTGCTCTTGATTTTGAGCCCTAGGCGGGATCCATTCTTGGGTATTTTACTACCCTTTGATTCCCACCCCACAAAAATGTAGTCATTACAGGTGATTTTATTATTGTTTCATTTGTTTTGTTTTTTACACCAAACCAGTTGGCTAACTGAACTGGAAATTATATTCTAGGCATGCCCTCTCAGATGGTCTCCTATCAAGATCCCAGCTTAAAAAGCCACCAGGCAGCCCTGGCCGGTGTTGCTCAGTGGTTAGAGTGCCGGCCTGTGCATTCAAGGGTCTTGGGCTTGATTCTCGGATTCGATTCCCATTCAAGAGCACGTACCTCAGTTGCAGGTTTGATCCCTGGCCCTGGTCAGGCATGTGCAGCAGGCAGCCAATTGATGTCTCTCTCCCACATCAATGTTTCTCTCCCCCACCTCATCCACCCCCAAATCCCTTCCACTGGTTCTAAAAAAAATCAATGGAAAAAAATACTCTGGGGAGGATAAACAAAAGAAGAAAAACCTCCAGGCAAAGGCACTTCTTGACCAGGCCATCCTTACTGCCCATCCAGGCCATGCCCCACTTGTCACCTGCTTTTACTCTGGCTTTATCTTCCCATATGACTGTGTGAGCTGGCAGCGCAGGCTCATCTGTGCCCTCATTTTCTGTTCCAGGAAGATGACTCTGCTGAGCTTTCAGGTGAGGGGACCACAGGGTCTGTTTGGTCTTGGCTTCATGTCTCTGGCCCCCAGTTCAGACCCTCCTGGAACCTGTTCTCATCACTGCTCTTCCTCTTCGTCCTGTCTCTCTCTCAACCTAAACCGTCTTCTCTAGTTCTGACACGGACCTA